TAATGGTGAGACGTCTCCACTGACGACTATCCCGGGCGGTGGCTGTCACCCTGCAGGGATGAGCAGCGCCACCAGGGCAATATTTCCTCAGGAGGTATTGGGCCCAAAGGGACTTGCCCTCCCTAAGGCGCCACCACATCCTGTAGGAAAACGCAGTAACCATATCAGAGAAACTCTGAATCCCGAGCCCACCCTCAGAGTGAGGACGACAGATAGAGTCCCACTTCACCCAGTGGGTCTGTCGCCTACCTCGCGAGCCCTCGCCATAGCTCCAAAAATAGCGGGCTAAGATCTGATCTAACTCATGAATCGTGGACTGGTGGGGGTCAAGCACCGCGATATCAGTCCAGTCAAGCCGAGAAGCCAGTTCGATATAAGAGTTGGCCAATTCGAGCCGGATAAAGATAGACTGATAATTATAGTTTCCAAGCTTCTGTCAGATTTTATCCGGAAGCTCGATATCAGTCTAGTCAAGCCGAGAAGCCAGTTCTAATTTTATATATGTTTTATATGTTTTGTCTGTCTTGCTTGCCTATCACCACCATAAGTGTTAAAGTTTCAGAATCAGATGTATCATTCAAGCAAAATACTTAGATATATTTGCGTGTATATGTTTGGTAGCTTGTGGAGAGTCGAGCCTCCAACAGCTACACCAGTTTTCAGCACTTGCACAGTCTTTCAGCATAATCAGGTGGGGCCTTGCACTGGGTATTACATCGCTTATAATCATATAGACTGCATGAGGTATGTACGTAGATATTTTACCCGAACGGTTGAGTTATCCTGTTCGTGGTCCAGTTATGATGACTCGGTCTTGTATGGAAGGTTTTTCCCATCCTAAGTCACTCACCCGGTTTTGAATGGTTGTTATTTCCATCCTGGGTATCTTAGGGAGGCGACCCCCAGAATGTGGTCACATGATAATCCGGCCAGTTTCCGGATGTTGCACCAGTACATTACAGTTTTATTTATGTATATGTTGAGTTCATGATATTTGATTACATGTGTTGTATATTCAGTGTTGGTTCTTGCGGAGCATGGTGATTTAGTGCTCACGCCCCCACTATTTATCTTTTTAGGTGATGGAGTACGGCCCGGAGCGTGAGCCGAGCAGTGGTGTGGTGGTGTCCGACAATAACTGGACATTTATTATGTTTATGTTTATGTTGGCATGTAATAAGATAATTTCGTATTGTACTGTACTTTATTTACGCTTCCGTATTGCCAACTCAGAACCAGTATGCATGCATGTTTAATTTCTCTTATCCATATTCCCCAGCTGGATTAAATATGTCGATTGGGTTACATGCATAAGTAAAAGAAAGAGCAATAAGTCAAGTCAGTAAGTAAGTAGCATCCCGCAAGTCAGTTAAGTTCAAATGTTTTTCGAAACCAGTCCCAGTATTTTTCAAAAACAACCGCGAAAATTTTACCCAGTTTTCGTGAGTCCAGTTAGATCAGGCGGGGTGTTACACGTAAACTATGCGACAACATGTCGCATAAATCGTAAAATATTCGTTGTTCGCTTTGAATACACGATTACATGTTATGCGTAAGTGTTTCGGATCTTTGTTAACTATGCATCCGATTTGGATGTGCAAGACAAAATATGCAAAAACTTGTCGCATAATCATAAAATATGCGGCTATCAATTTATATATGCGTTTTTATATCCAATATAGTTTCATGAGTATTACGGTGAAAAGGAAGTTTTTTGATGGGACAAAAATGCATGGGTATATTGAGGTGTAAAAGAAATTCTCCCTATACAAATACATGTACATAAAATAATTTAAGTTGCAACTGACAAAAAAGAATCCCAAAGAAGAAAAAAGGGCAAGAGAGCCACAACTCAACGTAAAACTAACGACGGAATTGGAATAAAACCATCCATATCTTTACCTATCTGGGTCCTGAGACCTGCTGCGAGGACATGTAGGAGAGGGAATTATAT